CAGTAAGTGCGGCTGCCAGCAGGCGTCTTTGCTATATAAATGTGTATTCGGTTAAGAAACAACCCCCCTCCCAGCAATGGATTTGCGCGCGGGGCTTGGGACCCGCCACGTAAAACCCCTTCCAGTGAGTAACGAAAATAAAGCTTCGGATGACATCCCTCCTCTTTTGATGACGACCACGGCTAACGGTTCAAAGACTACGATTTAAGGGAATGCTCCTGGAATGCCCGGAATCTGTGCAGAGTACTGTCCTTTACCCTGGCGAACGATCGTATAGCCACAATTCGCATCAAAGCAAGGTTCTTCAACATCTCGCTGATTGCGCCCATGCTTCGACGGTAGAGAAGGACGAAGTGCGAGACGTATTTGCCGCAATAAGGAGAGAGAGGCCGAAATACGTGAGTGCGAAGAGTTTGAAATGCTGGCTGGCTGGAAAAACTCCTTACGCAAGATTCTAAGACCAGGGTGAACTGCTGTAAGTAAAGCCATGGCGACCTTGAGATCAATGTCCAGGACACACTTAAATTATGGAGGGAACACTTTTCCAACCCACTGAATGGCAGCAACGTGGGAAGTTGTGGAGAAAACGAACCCGAACGCACAATCGATGATGACGGATTTGATATTCCTCTATTTAAGTGCGGTGAGGAGGAGCTGATAAAATGCATGCACAACGCTCATATCTTTTTTCGGACTAAAAAACTGTATATTACTCCGAAAAAATCCTGTTACACAGTATCTCCAGTTACTTTGTTAATTACAGTATTTTTTGAAAGGGTTTTTCAAAAAAGGGGAATTCTTGGTATTATGATTAAGTCGTATTTAATATTCTCCCCTAAACAATTTTTCGGACAAATTCGCACAATTTAACTTTTGCCATTTTGAATTTTGTAATATAGAAATTTACAAACACTAACTTTTGTTGGCTACTTTTAAATATAATCATTAAAATTTTAATAAAATCTTATAGTGTGTAAATCAGGCTATCAAACTGATATAGGAATGGTTCAAATAGCCAATTTTATAGGCCACTGGCTGCGTTCAAGTAAAGCTATGATTTTCAGGGCAACATCAAATATAGGTGAGTGTATGTCGCTTAATGCACTGATACAGCCATAATAAACTATTTTAGCAAACATAAGAATATAAAAAAATTAAGTTAAAGAGTTTGATTTTCCGACTTTTCTCCACCTAGAACTGGGATTCAGACCACTGTGCTATGTAAGAAATAAACAACCGATTTGAAAACAAATTCGAGTCAATACTGTTTTGAAATTTCGTTTATGCATCTGTTTTGAATCACAGCTAACTGTAAACAAGGTAAATGACAACGTCCGATGTAGATAAATATATAGATAAATGTTTCAAATAGGTGTACACTAGGGCTGTGCGATTATTCGATTACACGAGCAAGTTGGTTAATCAATTATTCGGTTAATCAATTACTCGAGTAATCAAGATTTTGATTACTCAAAACGATGATTAATCGAGTTACTTGAAATATGATTACTCAAAAAATAATAATTTTGCTCGTTAAAAGAGTTTGCTTTGGAAAATGCTTATTTTCTTTTTTATATTCTGTATATGAAAAAATTTTTATGTTTAATTTTTGAAAACAGAAACGTTGTTTTCAAAGTATCAAGGAACTTTAACTCCTTTATACATATGTAAAGAGTTGAAATGTTGATTATTTTATTATTATTTATATTTTTTTTTTTTTGGTTAATCAAAAATCTTGATTACTCGAGTAACTGAACTTTTGAGTAATCATAATTTCCAATTAACCGAATAATTGAGTTATTTACTTTATGATTAATTAAAATTTTGAGTAATCAATTAATCGCACAGCCCTAGTGTACACGTATTCGTAAGCAAAAGACCGTAAACATATTAAGCGCTGCCAGTGGAAATTTTGCCTGAGCGCTAAGCAGATTTATGAGCGTGAGTGTAAAAAAGATGAGTCAACTGTTCGTATTGGTTAAGGCAACTGTTCATAATAAGAGGCAACAAGTTTTTGGTATTCCAGTGGTTTATTCAAACAATAATTTTAAATTTAGATTTTTATTGTGCATACGAAATTTTAATTAATAAGATCATTCCTGATATTAACAAATAAGCTCGCGAAATAATTCTGAATTCTTCCAATTTAATTCTGCTTATTCAATATCATACTTTTTTTTTAAAGAATCGTTTCAGGCCGTTGGGTAAATTTATAATGTAATAAACAGAGCGGATATTTTTATACCAGAAAAAAAGTATCTTTGCCCATTACACATGCTTTTAAAACTAAAAAATATATGCATTTAAATATTAAGAAATATATGGTGTTTTCTATATTAATAAAATTGCACTTATTCCAAAACAGTTAGCAATAAGATGCAGTTTAACATTCTCAAACAAACATATTTGGCCGCGGTGATAAAGCAAAATCCTCGTTATTGCAAAAAAAAATGTTATCGCCACCGGTCAATGCTTAATAACAAAGTTCTTGAGGAGAAAATTGTATATCAAAGTTTTAAACCCTATCTTCTTTATAACGGCGTGCCTATTTTCAATGTCAACCATTTTCCATCGGAAAACATTTTTTATTTGTTTATTTGGTATTTTAATGGGTTCTGTATCAGCATTGCGGAAGCTGTCAACAACAACCTTTACTTCGCTAAGACAGACAACTTAAAAAGAGTTCTTTTTTTGCAAAGCTCGGTCGAAATATACATACATATTAGGTATATGCATTTACGAACATATAAATGAATATGTACATTAGAGTGGGTCAACTTGTTGGAAAAAAAGTTGTTCGACGAATCGCATAGTACTTTCTGTTTCTAAGAGAAAATCTAGAAGAAACCAAAATTCGGAGATGAGGCTCTAGGGTGCGCATTTTTCAAAGAAAAATTAACTTTTTCCCGATATTGTATTTTTTATTCTATGCCGGTTTTACAAAGTTGCAAAGTTGTTACAACTAATGGATACAATGTGCCTATATTTTGGTTTATAACATTTTTAATTGATTTGCCATATTAACCATCCAAACTTCGTGACAAAATTATAAACGCACCACATGTCGCCAATTTTTAACAATAAATTATTTTGTTATTTTTTTATAAATATATGTTTTACTCGTATAAATCCAGGTTTGAAACTTTGTGCAATATTAAAAAAAAATTAGCAAACTTTCGTAAAAATGTAAAGCTTTTTAGCTCGATTTCTCAGAAAGATTTTGAGTATACGGTTTTGTGGTCCATTCAATTTTATTAAAATATAGTGCAAGAAGCTAAGACTTACCTTCGATTTTTGGCATTTTTTTGTTGAAAAATAAAATAAATATAAAATCATATTTGTGTGGAAGAGACACCGTCAGCAAAGGCAATTTGCAAAAATCAACGGTAAGTGCTAGACATGTTCATAAATGAGTTTTTGTGGTTAAAAACAGTTACTTTTAACTGTTTGCTAATATATTAAGTTTAAAATTCACAAAACAGATGTATTTACTTTTTAAAAATGGTTTAAACAAATAAAGCAAATGTAAGAAACTTATGCCAACTTCGTTTTTACCGAAAAAGGCAACCTTCTCTTTGCCCTCTACGCACAAACACTAAGAAGAGGGCGATGAGAAGGCAACATTTTTTGTAGACACGAAAACGCCATTATATACAGACATTTTACTTACATATATGCAAAACCTTTAAGAAAGGGCGAAAAACCTAATATCATGAAAATCCAATTTTTTCATTTAAAAATGCACAGACCGAAACTCATTTCCGACCCATGATTTATTCTATGCAAAATCCACAATATGCAAATGTATAAAAATGTCTGCTCCTATGGTAGGGTGTAATCAGTAAAGGTGTTTTTGTTTAGTAATTTTGACAATTTCGGCAGACTTACTTCATAGCGATGCTTACTTAACTTCTAATGTTGCTACCTTTTTTGCATCAGCATGATCTTTATTACCCTTCCCATATTTTTTTTAACAATTTGCAATTCCATGCGAAATTCTGGCGATCAAAGTGTGTATTTATCTCGTTCTTAAGGTGTTATATCAGCGATATTTCTTATCCCGCCTATATATTTATTTAAGTATGTACATATCGCTCATTTACCTCAATAAAAGAAAAAAAAAGAAAATACAAAAATGTTCTAGAACATGCAACGGTCATATCTGCATACTTAACTCAAGTTTTTTATTTATTTTTCATTAGATGTGCGATTTGTACATACATATATTCTAAACTAACTCCACTTATTTAAATTAAGTTGGGGATTTATCTTGAAAAGCAAAACACACAAAATCTGAACATTTTCTATGTTCATGTGAAAGTTGACGCAATTTAATTTAACATGCTACATGAAGTTTATAAATAAAAACCATTGTAATGCATAAAAGTCAGCCGAAGAAGTGAAGTTAGTTTATATCAACCATCGACAGTAGAGTCAGCTTCTATGATATCTATTGGAAAACTTGTTAAGATTTTGCTTTTTTGACTATGTATATCGGTTTATGCAGGCCTTCTCTTCATCACGCTCTGTAAATTGAAAATAATTTCAGACCTTCTCTGCATTACACTCTGTAAATTAGAAATAATTTGTGATTTGGCAGACTGTTATTTTGCGGGTTCGCCTTTAGTGTACTTGCAGAAACGCCACCCTTAATTTATTTTCATTTGAATTAAGCACATTTTAGTGTTACAAATATTAGTTGCGTTCCAGATGCTTCACGATTTGCAGGTTTCCATAAGGTTTATTAATGGAGAAAACAGCTGTTCCTGCAAATCCTGTAAAACCTACAAATCGTGAAGCAACTGGAACGCAACTAAAATTTACATATTTATACTCAACTTCAGTTAATACTTTTTAAAATGCTAAGCCACTGCTACGTGAATTTCTAAAAAGATTTACTTTATGAAAATACAAAATGTTAAAATTACTACATAGAATGGATGTATGAAATCTTAATTAAAATGCCAGGGTTAAGCGCTAATGATGAAAATCTTTAAGGATGCCCGTTATGAAAATTTTAGGATTTATTCAACGATAAATTAATATTAAATACGAGAATATGTATGTATGTATGTCGGTACTCAATTATTAGTTTATGAGAAGTATTCAATATTGTGGTATTCACAACGGTGTCGTAAGTGTCCTATTGTTGTATGTGGTAAACTTGAAAAGTTGAAATAAATGTTTATGTTTACTTGAAACCACAACCAATTACTTTTTAACACTGAAATGAAAACTTATAATAAAACGTTTATGGTACCTTTGGAGCCCCCTTAATATGTTTAAAGTTTACGACTTACAACAAAACGACACTTACGACACCGTTGTGAATACCACACATGTTCTTTTAATGTTACCATAGAAGTTTCAGTAAAACTAGCAGAGAAATGCGATAGACGTGCTTTAAATATGTTGAATTTTTTTTTTCAAACTTGGACTAAATATAAACACACCGGCTTGTTTGAATATGTATGTGTGCTTGCCTGAGTTTATGTGTGCCGATATTTTCAATTATATGCGCGTTATCAATACATATGTACATATCGTTACCTTAATATATAAAAGCCATATATAAAACATTTGTTCCTTTACGGATTGATGAAAAAACTCCATAGAAAATCGAGTATTTTTGCTGCGAATTTCGTTTAAAGGCTGTTTTTATTTAAGAATGTAACTAATTTTATACTGTACTAGATATTTTTAAAATCCAGGAGGTGCTTACAGAGTTATCGGCAGACTTTTGTACAATACTGGATTTGAAACGAAAATGAGTTAGGGCCTTTCTATATTAAGGTGACGGTGTGTAGATATTGTATATATAACTCGATTGACAGTGGAACCTTTACTTTGACGTATGAAATACTAGATTTAATTTGATTTGGTTGCTTTTTGCTTAAAAAAATGTATCGCTTCCAGTCATGAACGTAAATGCTGCGGGCGAAAATTCTTGAGATGAGCTGATATGTATAGGTGCACTAAAGTATGCCACAGTTTTCGTATCTCTCTCTCCAATCGAAGTGTATACCCGGTAGCTCCAACCGTTCTCCGATCCCAAGGTTTGCAATTGTTCTCCTTCCCGCCGCACTACGCACGCTCCTCATTCCTCTGGTCTCTACATTAAATACAATCGCCTTCCACCTCCTCTTGATTCACATCCTGATCGAATTCATCATCTGCGGTAGCTTCCTGATATTGCTGGTATTCGGATACTAAATCGTTCATGTTGCTTTCTGCCTCGGTGAACTCCATCTCATCCATACCTTCGCCGGTATACCAATGCAAGAAGGCCTTACGCCTAAACATCGCTGAAAATTGCTCGGAAATACGTTTGAAGAGCTCTTGTATGGCAGTGGTATTACCAATGAAAGTTGAGGACATCTTCAGTCCCTTGGGTGGGATGTCACATACTGCAGTCTTCACATTGTTTGGTATCCATTCCACGAAGTATGAGCTGTTCTTATTCTGCACAGCTAACATTTGTTCGTCCACCTCCTTCATTGACATGCGACCACGGAAAACGGCAGCGACGGTCAAATAACGACCATGACGGGGATCGCAGGCAGCCATCATATTCTTTGCGTCAAACATTTGCTGTGTCAATTCGGGCACAGTCAGAGCGCGATATTGTTGAGAGCCACGCGATGTTAGCGGCGCAAAGCCGGGCATGAAGAAGTGTAGTCGGGGGAAGGGCACCATGTTGACAGCTAATTTACGTAGATCTGCGTTTAGTTGACCAGGGAAACGCAGACAGGTGGTCACACCAGACATTGTAAGCGATACAAGGTGGTTGAGGTCACCGTAACTTGGGTTGGATACCTTCAGAGTGCGGAAACAAATATCGTAAAGCGCCTCGTTGTCAATACAATAAGTCTCATCAGTGTTTTCCACCAATTGATGGATGGACAGGGTCGCATTGTATGGTTCGACGACGGTATCAGATACCTTTGGCGAAGGCACCACTGAGTAGGTGTTCATTATACGATCAGGATATTCTTCGCGTATCTTCGATATAAGTAATGTGCCCATGCCAGAGCCCGTGCCACCGCCCAATGAGTGTGTCAACTGAAAGCCCTAAGGAAGACGCAAAATAAACTGAGAGTATTAAATGTAAATACTAACTTTAGAAAAATATAATTTACCTGCAAGCAGTCACAGTTCTCGCACTCCTTACGCACCACATCCAAAACATTATCCACCAATTCAGCACCTTCGGTGTAATGACCCTTAGCCCAGTTATTGCCAGCTCCCGATTGACCGAAAACAAAGTTATCAGGTCGAAAAAGTTGTCCATAGGGACCAGAGCGCACCGACTCCATGGTACCGGGCTCAAGATCGAGTAGGATAGCACGAGGTACATACTTTCCTCCGGAGGAACGCGTTACAGCTACGAAATAACAATAATAAAAGGTTTTGTAAATAATCGGCACGGAGTTTCCATTAGCAGAAAGTGTAAATAAGTTATGAAATAAAAATATAAGAAACAAAAGTAAAATATTGAATAAACTGTGTGTATATACAGACTTGCGCAAATGCATTAATTTTTGAAATTTTATACTAATTAAAATATTATTGCATTAATTTTGAAAATCCATTGCTAAATAAAATTTTAATTCATTAATTCTTAAAAATACATATCGTCGTTTAAAGTGCAAAACCGCGTATCAACAAAATGCAAAACCGCGTATCAGCAAAATGCAAAACCGCGTATGTGAAGTTGTAGAAATTATTTTCTAGAGCGTAAAAACA